TATGGTACTGCCTACTCAATCATGAGGCCGGGTGAAAAACGGATTGGTCCAGGCCATGGTTGATTTATTAGACTGGGCGACTGCAATGAGCTAATTTGTTACAGTCGTCACAAAATTACTTGGTGATATTCTCAAATGTTCTCAGTAATTCGAAGAATCTCATTGACGCCCAAGCAGCAAGATTCTGAAAACAAGGCAGAGGTGAACTTTTAAAACTAATACTGTCCCCTTTGAGTGATCACAATTACAACAAGTAATTGCTACTACCATGAGGTACGGTCTTTGTTTAGGCCTTTGATCTATATTTCGATATTCAAGAAGATTTCTGGGAAAGATTCAGAGTTGATTGATGCTTTTCAGCTGCAGCCCGGAACTACAGAGTACAGCGAATCTTTGAACGATTATTGCAGAAGATATAATTGCATGGAAGGGAGAAAAAGAAAGTCTTTTAACGGCCAACGCTCTTGTCTGAGGATTGCGCCCCGAATTCGATTTGGTTTCTGTTCAGAATGGTGGTGCCTTATTAAATGCGTATATGCCGTAAACAATGACTCAGCCAGCCGATATGCGTCAGTGCTTTAACCCTCCCAGGCTAGTCCGGTTACAATAGCACTACCACAGAAGGATGGAAGGCTTGGCAGGCTCCGACGGATAACATGCTTGCTTTGAACCCGTGACCGTGCGTGTGTGATGGTGTATAGCTTGCCGCTACACCACCTCGTCCTTACACAGTTGGTCATACTCCCTAAATATCCATTCAGAGCACGGCTGGAGGGACCACAACTGACCATCTTAACTCTTCAATTGAATACAAACTTATTCGGGAGTGAAAAAGAAGAAAAAGAAAGGGAGATGGATATAGGTTACTCTTGACAAAGCAAATAGGTTACGAAAACTACACATCAGTCATGGTCCTCAATGGAAACTTGATGCTCGCTTCATTCCAAAAGCATTCAGCAGTTATTACGACTTCATTCTTTGTATGATGAACAACGCTTCCTCTTTGGTAAAGCGTTTTTAAATGAAAGACATCAACAACGATGCAATTTCCAGCCAGTAAATTACATTCGTTGTTGAGAGCTTAATTAACGAACTAAAGCTCACCATGCAGTTGTCATAACTTTCCCGGCTCCGAAAGTAATTAATTAGCCAGGAAGGAAAACAATTCCGAAAACCAGACGGATCCTCAATTTACTTTTCATGTTTGAAATAAAACGAAACCTGAGAGGTGCTGCTCAGCTCTCATTCCTATAATGAAAGGTACATTACATAAACGTTTGGTAGTGGTCTCGCTCAGAACCGGAACATTGGGATCGAAGGTGACTTTGTAAAGACGTGCCGCGCTCGCTGCACTGGCCACGGGCAAGTTCAAATTTCGAGTAGGTGATCATGGGAGCTGCCTCGGAATCACCGCCACGCGCATGCCTGCGACAATGGGTATTAGGGTAGAACCACCTCCAAGCTCATGATTTTCACTCGATTGGAGGAGATGCCGAACACTATGCTAACCGATTTGGCGTCATAGGGGTGGAGGACTTTGTACCATCACCCATCACTTCGAATTTCTTCAGCACATACTGGACTTAGCAGGCTGCATTCTCAGTTCCACACACACGGTCTCGATCTTTGAAGGCACAGTTCACGATAATTTTGAGGTGCCCTCTTGAAGTCGAAAAGCGGAAGTATTGGTTGGGAACAGTTCATTGGTAGTGAATAAAGCGAGGAAATTCGCCGATTGTCAAAAAAATAAGCTCCTCAAAAGTAGGGGAAATAAGAGGTTGGACGAGATTACCATGACCTAAACATCATGGAAAGGGTATTCGGATGAGACTTCGGTTGTTAAAATTTCGCAAAGAGCTGACTACATCAAGCCAGAACTGTACAGAACTGCCTTTCACTATCACTACGGGTCTCGTCCGAGGATACACACTATCCGTTCTTTGAGCCTTTATAACGCCCTAACTAGGCCGTTCCCTGACATGTTAGCGCCAGATATGGTATAAAAGGGTGCCTCAAATTCATCTTATGGGGAAATCTCAGAAGCAATTTTTATCGTGAACTGTGCCTTTAAGGTTTATTTAGATTGTCATTCAGCCACCTCCGTGTCAGGCTCCTTCATTAATGAAGAAAACGAGGAACATAAATGTTATACATGGTTGAAGAATAGGAAAAGGGTTTCAAAAAGTAAGCCATTCAGAATATTCAATAAGAAGATGAGGAAATTTGAAGTCCTGAGAGCGTTACACTATTTTATTGACAGACATCATGTGCATATGTGATGCGGACATGATGAATTACAGCTACACGGAATTGGCAGTGAGATTATTGGAAGTTTTTGTCAAACAATATCCAACAATAAACGAAAAGTCAAAGAGCAACAGAGCCAAATTGAATTTGTAACCACAATATAACTATTTGTGTACCAGTCGGACGGCCCGGCTTAAGCCGAGCTCCTCTGCTTCTTGTGTTGAATTGACCCGCCGCCTGAATTCTCTCCAATTCGAAAGTTATGGCCCGAGAAAAGCTACAGGAGCTACCGACTTCCAGCAGAACACATACACGCATGCATACACACATACACACACCGACACACTTCGTACAGGCATGGTCAGCCCCTTTCACTTCTTT